GTTGTGTTTGCTGCTGTCAAGGTCATTTGAGATGCGCGCTTCTTTTGAGATGAGGAGGCTGGAAATATTGATACGTCGGAACCTGCATCAACGAGAAAGTTTATGTTCATTTTCTTGTCTAGGATGAACAGGCGACGAGATTGTTCCGGCAAAGTGCATGTCGCCTTTACGCTTCGCCGCTCTCGTTTGTTGGAAAAACTACACGGAGGAGTACATTTTTGTGCCTTTGTGCCAAAACGGTTCTGGTACCAGCAGTAGTTGTTAATACTGTGGTGAGTTGAATTGTTGCAATGTCCTGAACTGCTGCAGCAGCATCGAGAAAAATGGTCACTGCGATCCCGACGTGCCTGCGTTAGTTGATCGATTCACTTGTTAAGTTTATCTATTTCGACTAGTATTTTGTTGGTTACAGTAACGGGTTTCTCAGGTTGCGACACTGAAACTATCGTTGTGGAGGTTACTTCCACCATTCGGTCCGTTACCTCCGCTGCTTTGTCTACGTTGAGTGGGGTAATGGTGGCTAGGATAGATTGGACGGACGTCGGAAGGTGTTGTATGAATAATTCTAGTATAACTGCGTCCGGGATTTGAAAATTTTCCGCCCGACTCTTTAGAATACATAGTAGTTTGGAGAGTTTGTGATCTCCTAGCTGTTCTTCGGCCAATAGTTTTCGTAGCTCCTGTTGAGACGATTCGCCGGATCGTTTAATAAGTTCTACCTTTATGTGACCGTACAGGTCTGTATGGTCCGGAGAAATAATAATGTCTCTAACTGTTGATGTGACTTTCGGGGGTAAATGGGCCACTACGTAGTTGAACTTTGTGGCACTTTCCGTGATCAGCTTTGGAGATCCTAGCGCAAATGTGCTTTCACACATGTGGAACCATAAGGCTGGGTCGGAAAAGTTGTATGGAGGGATTTTTACCGCTCCGATCTCGGCAATGATCTGACAACTGAGGTCTTGAGAAAAGGAAAACGACGTACCTGATGAAGGTTCAAATGGTAGTTCTTAGTCGAATTATGTTCTTAGTCCGGCTCACTAATGTGGTTTTTACGTTGTTGTTGCTTTTATCTTTCGTCGCTGTGAGTGGAAGAAACAAACGAGACGAGATCATAACAAAAACTAAACTTTTATGGTCCTTCTCGCATACTTGGTACAGCACATGCCTCAACGATGCAGCTAACAAAGACAACTGATTTTCGACGGTCTTTGTGGGGTGAGTTCGAATTTATTCCAGGAAGTGATGACTCATACACCTGGGGGTAATTGCTTGTATTTTACAACTGTTAAGGGTACAGATGTGAAGAGCGGCGTTCGCCACACCAGTATAAGCATAAACTTTAACATGAAACTTTTCTTATTTTATAAAATTGCAGAACCAATCATATTTGATCCTTTATTGACATTGATACATCATTGTTACATATGTGCCCATAAGAATGCATTCAGTGTTTGTTGACCATATTGGTTTTGCTTCATATGTGTGTTTGCAATCTTGCTTTTAGTTATTGTCTGTTAATTATGACCAGTGTAAAAACACTTGATTTAAATTTACCATACCAAAACTTCTGCAAGTATTCAATGTTGTATGCAAAGACAAGGCAAGTGGCAAAGAGGTGTTGTGGCAGAATATTCATTCTGTTTTATGACAAGACAGTTTGAGGTGATTTTATTACTTACAAGTAAATAAACCTAAGGGGTTTTATTTAGACATCAATTATTTTCTATTTAAATTTTACATAAAATTAGTTTAAATATAAAATCTGTAGTGCATAATTGATGAATAGCACACCCTAGATCAGATTAAAAAATTGAAATAACAGGCCTGGATGAACAAACCCCATCTAACATTATATGTTTATAATTATAATGTCTGGTAAATATAATGTAAAATACATTGTTTGCATACTCTATAATAACTTAAAAAATCTTAATAAAATTATCAAATAAAGGTTTGGTCAGGATTAGGGTTTCTCAAACGGGATTCCGGGATCCCGGTTGTTTTTTTAACC